GGTTGCTACATATTCAAATCCTGGTTTTGATACTAAATAGTTATATGTACATGGGCAATAACTTAACCTCTTTGTACTTTAATACCCCTGACTATGAAATAGCAAAAAGAACAGTATCTACCTCATGGCCCTGTAGGGGAACATGGCCCTATAGTGAATGTTTAATACATGTGATCTATTTTTTTTAATTATTATCATTATTTTTATACTATAACTATTTCTTGAGTACCAATTCTGTATTAGGACCAAGTGAGGAACTGAAGATACACAGGTAAAATGAGACAGGATCTGGAAAATGGATTCCTAAATAGAGGATCATAAAATGTGAGCGAGGTTATGGTGGAGGAAAATGTAGGGTCTATAGAATGGGGGAGGGTGTTCCTACATAACATGGTGGTCTGAGACTCTTCTTTGAGAGGCTGGAGCTATGTCTCTAGGTTATCATCTGTTGCTTTTAAGTGACACTAACATCTCCCCATAGATATTATGTTGACAGGCTGTAAGAGAGGCTAAGATTGCATGTAGATATAAGATCACTTAATTTCTATTTAATTTTTGTGGCTTCAAATTCTTCTTTGCAGTTGTGAAATAATGCAACATGTAGAAAAAATGAATTACATCTTGGATTTATTTGTGTTGTTTGGGAACTAAGAAAAAGGGTTTTCAGCAGAAATCTGGTTAAATTTGTCAAAATTTGACTCCTCATTTGTTAGTTAAAAGATAAAATATAAACATTAGAAATAAACTAAATACCCAGGGATAAGGGAATAGTAAATTGTTATCTAATAATTAGATTGTGCTGTATCTATAAAACTGAAGATAATTATTAGCATACTTAGAAGGATTTTTTATAGCATGAGAATAGCTTATAAAATATGAAATTTAAAGTCAATATTAACTCCACATGTAAAAAAATTGCAGATAAGCTGGTGGGAATGCAAACTAGTACAACTACTATAGAAAAATGTTTGGAGGTTCCTCAAACTGCTAAACATGGAGCTTCCATACTACCCAGCAATCACACTCCTAGGTATCTACACAAAAGACACAAAAACACTGATTGAAAAAGATACCTGCACCCCCATGTTTATTGCTGCTTTATTTACAATTGGAAAAACATGGAAGCAGCCCAAGTGCCCAAAAGTAGATGACTGGATTAAAAAGATGTGGTACATAGATACAATGGAATATTACTCAGCAAAAAAAAAAGAAACACATGTCTTTTGCAGCAACTTGAATGGAGCTGGAAAAGATCATGCTTAGTGAGATAAGCCAGAAAGAGAAAGAAAAATACGAGATGGTTTCGCTCATAGCAGGGCCAGGTGAGAAAATAATAAGAATAATGAACACTCATATACCAGAGACATTTTGTGGGGGTGGAGTGGGGAATGGGATCAAACAGGAGGTGGGGGAGGGAAGTGCACAGGACTATGGTGATGGCACATGGGTGACTTGGTGATGGGAAACCCATGGGGATTACAATTGAGATGGGGAAAAAATGTGCAAAATGATGTAAAAATAAACTATTATATTAAAAAAAATCTGCAGATAAAATGCTAGAAGATATGCTTAAATGTTGACATTGGTTACTGCTAGTTGGTGGGATTATGAATAGTTTATTTTCTAATACTGCTTTTGGTAGTTTATAAAATAAGAAAGTAATGCTTTGTTTTTAAACACAGCTTTATTATTAAGATTTCACATACCATATCGTTTAGCTATTTAGAACATTTAGTGTTCAGTTAAGTTTACAATTTAATGTTTTGTTTTATTTTTGCTTGCTCACAATTCTACACACATCCCCACAATATAATTTTAGAACATATCAGAAACCATGAACCTATTAGCAATCATTCCCATTCCACCCCCCTCTCTCAATCAACACTCGTGCAAATCAAATGGCAAATTGTTTATTGATTTGTACAGTGATGAATTTGCTGTCACTGTAAATTCACCTATTCTGAATGTTTTATACAAATGTTTTATTCAAATTATACAGTAGGTACCCTTTTGTGTTTTGTTTCTTTGATGTATCAAAGTATTTATAAGATTCATCCATGTTATATCACATATCACTATTTCATTCTTTTTTATCACCAAATAATATTCCATTGCATGGATTTACCCACTTTATTAATTTATTCATCAATTGCTAAAAATTGGTTTGTTTCTTGGCTATTATCAATAAGGCTTCTATGAACAAGCTGTACAAGTTTTTGTGGAAATGTTTTCAATTCTCTTGGTATATACCTGCAAGTGGAACTGCTGTCAAACTGTTTCCCAAAGCAGCTCAGTCATTTTATATACCAGCAATGTACAAGGGTTCCAATTCTCAACATCTTTGTTAACACTTGTTATTGTTTGTCTTTTCAATTATAACCACCCCACTGTGGGTGGTTATAATCAAATCTCATTGTGATTTGATTTGTATTTCTTTGATGACAGCCTTCACATCTTTTCATGTGTTTATTGGTCATTTGTGTATCTTCCTTGGGAAAATACCTGTTCAGACATTTTACCCATTTTTTAATTGTATTTGCTGTTTTACTGATTTGTATGAGTTCTTTATATTTCTGAACACAAATTTCTTATCAGATATACAGTGTTGTAGGTTATCTTTTCACATTCTTGTTGGTGTCCTGTCACTTGCAGTAACAAACTTTCACATTTTGATAAAATCCCACTTATCTATCTTTTGCTTTGTCCCTCATGATTTTGCTATTTTATATTAGAATGCATCTCCCATCCCAACTTTACAAATATTTAGTATTATGTAAACTACTAAGAGTTGTATCTCTTCCATTTAAATTTACATATCATTTTCTGTTAAATTCTGTTTAATTTCACTCTTTTACCTGTGAATGTCCAGTTGTCCCAGCAACATTTGTGGAAAAGGCTATTCTTTTCTGCATTGAATTGTGTGGGGATCCTGTCTCTGTTGAAAACCAACTAATCATAATATAATAGTTGTGCATCTCAATTCTATTTTATTGCTCTATATTGCTATCCTTATGTCAATACTATCCCATTTTGATTACTGTAACTTTTGTATTAACTGTTGAAATCAGGAAGTATGAATCCTCCAACTTTGTTCTTCTCTCTCAAGATAATTGACTACTATAGGTCACTTACATTTCTATGTACTGAGTTTATACTCAAGAGGGAAAGGTTTTTAGAAGAAAGCAAGGAAGATAAGACATTGCTGAAGGAACTGTAAATTTCATTTTGCATTTTCTGAGTGATGTACCTTTTCTCTTGGTACACTTGGTAAATTTTGTTTGGGTCATGGCAGATTTTTTTTTTTCACTGTTGATGAACAATGTAATGATTCAGCTAATTCTTCAGCTTCTGCCCTGAGCCACTTGGCTGGGTCAGGAGTTCTTTCTACTAAGGGGCTCCCATGAAATGCTACCTTTTGTATTCTCCCAGAAAAATATGTGCATTGTTTGGTCTGTATGGTTTTAATTGCATACCTCAACAAATCGCTTTTGAGTTTGTATTTTTATATATTGAAGTCTATAAACATACCTTTGATATATTCATTAATAAATTATATAGTTATGGCTATTCATACAAGCAAAACACATTTTAGAGAATGAGATTAAAAATAATCAGAAATATGTTTCCCTACATCTCAATGGCTTTTATTTTGTTCTCTGGAGACCACCTTCCTTAGATTTTTCATATATATAAAACTTTGTGTATTCCCATACCCAGTCAACTAGTGCCTGGTTCATAGCAGAAGCTCAGTGTTTGCTGTTCAAACAAGAGTTCTTAGATATTCTATTATTGCCATAAACACACAATCTCTATTCCTAGATTTTGCATTCTGTAATTAATGATTCTACATCTGTCATATGCTAGGTAATTTGGTAAACAGGTTGTGAGCTTCTTATGTCTCCTTGTTATCTCTTTATCTTATCTGATTAAGCCTTATCTGATCTATTTAGAAAATAACAATTATCTCGTCCTTAATCTATATTCTTCATTTCAAACTGCAGATCAGGCACAGTCTTAGATGTCAAGACCAGAAAGAAAGGGAAGTAGGAGTTCTGATGAGGACATGGTCAAGTTAAAGGTGAATAAATGGTAAAGAAACTCTTGGGAAGAGTCAGGAAGAGCTTTAGGAAGCTGGAGTTTAAAAGGCTGATGGAAGTTGGGTCAATGGAGACAGAGAAAGGCAGTCTCTGCTGAACTTCAGGAGCAAAGAGATCCAGCACATTTCGAGCTAGGGTAGAATTTGTGTCGCTGAACCCAAGGGGCAGTTGCATTTGTGTTTTTTAAAAGGCCCCTTTAACAGCTCTGTGAAGTATTAGTTTTGAGGCTGGAAACAAGCGGCTGTTGGTTGCCTGGAGAATAGGGCACAATTACAGATAGGATGTAGAAACCCCTGTATTTGGAAGTCAAACGTAAGCAGGGAAACTCTGCATGAGTGCTCCTGCTGCATTATTTTTTTAGGATCTCAAAGCTCACTTTACCCCTGGATTCTGGGTTGTTGCCCGTTCCCTTTGTTCTCAACGTTCTGAGCCTTTATTAGAAACTCACTGTATGTTTTCTGGGAGTCCTGGAAGCTGCGAATGTTCTGTTTTGAGGCCTCTGGCCAAAGAAAGACACCGTAGTGGATCTCTGAGCAGGTTTTATCAAGTAAGGGCTTGCTCTAGAGCTTCATCACACCCCCGCCCCAATGAAATCAAACCACATCCAAATAGAGGCCCAGACACATCCCGACAGAAAATAGCCCCCCGGACAGCCGGAGCCAGCACTGGCAAGTCTAAGCGGGCGGGCGCCCAGGTCGCCGCCACACCCCTTCCTGTGAAAGGCGGGGCAGGGCAACCTCGGCGCCCGCAGCGTGGGTGCAGTGCCCGCCGGGTCCTCGGCCTCGCGCCGCGGTGGGCGGGGCTTCCCTGCCCGGCTGGGTTAGTGACGCCTCTGGCTCCGCCCCCAGGGGGAGGCGAGCGGGCGGGGCGCGCGGCGAAGGGACGATCGCTGGGCCGGAGCCGGCCTGGGAGCCCGCGGAGCGCAGCCTGCGGAGCGCTTGGGCGGCGGCGGACGCTGCAACGCGCGCGATGGCTCCGGCGGTGGACCGCGAGGGCTACTGGGGCCCCACGACCTCCACGCTGGACTGGTGCGAGGAGAACTACGTGGTGACCCCGTACATCGCCGAGTTCTGTGAGTGCCTCTGTGGCCCCCGGCCTGAGGCGGGAAGGGAGAGAGGCGACGGTCTGAGGGCAGACGCCTTGTGAGGAAGGGAGAGGGCAGACCTGGCCGCCCGGGGTGCCACCGGGCCTGACCGGCGAGGTGGAGTGGGGAGCCCTGGCCGAGGTGCGGGACCGGACCGGGGTGGGGGTTGCGGACGATGCGGGGAGCGGACTGGGGCAGCCTGTGTGAGCGGAGAGGAGTGCCGCGGTCTGGACGGCTTGAGGGGGGCTGTTCGGAAGGGCGCGGAGGAGAAGCGGGGAGCCCCTGCTGGACCTGAGGGCAGGCAGAGGGGCAGGGCTACGACTGGGAATTCCTCCCTGGCGGGGCGGAGTGGGGCAGGCTGGCGCTTGCGGAAGCAGAGGCTGTCCATTTGAATGAGGCCCCGGGACACCTGCTCCCGCTGTTGCTGCCGCCGCCTTCGCCAGAGGCTGCTGGCGTCGGGAGCCGGTCCTGGCTTCCTTTCCCCCTTGGAGTGAAAGGTCTTTCCCTTCCTCTCCCTCTGCTCCTGTTAGACCTCTCGGTCACCTCCAGGGACCGGCATTCCCAGTGGCAGCCCCCCAGCCCCCAAAGCCACCCCACCCGGAGATCTTCGCATACCTGAGATCTCCAGGGGCGCCGTCGACGGCGCTCGGAACACCCAGGCTGCACTTGCCTGTTGGCGCCTGACTCCCGCGAGCACGAGGGCTCACCCTTCCTCCTGTTCGATGACCAGAATCAGGGGTCACTCGAGGACACAGCTTACGCTGATTGGACCTTGTGGGGGCTTGGGGCAGAATCCTCCTCCTGCTGCCCTCCGCGACAGGCAGCAGTGCCCAGGAGGGCTCTTGCCCCCACTTTCTGTGCTACCTCAGATGATCATCCCTGCCATGCTTAAGAGAGCACAGGAAAATTCTCTTGCTTCTTTTTCTGTTGTGTTTTGAGAGCATGATGTTTGCTCCTTCCTCAGATACCTGCTTTGGCAAGGTACAGAGAGTATTTTTTGGCCAGTTATTAGTGCTTTCTTCTAATTGGGTTCTCTTTCTCCAGAGGTAAAGAAAGCAAAAACTTCAGCAAACCCTCCCATTGTTTGGTCCTTCTCTCCCAGGCATGTGTTTGGTTTTGGAGGAAAGAGGCAAGAGTTTTATGCCAGCTGATTCTACTTGATTCTGTCTTTTTAATTGGCCAAGTTTCTTTTTCTAAGAAAGAAAATGGAACTGTTTTTACAGTTTTCAGAATTGTGGTATCATTCCCTTTTTTTTTTTTTTTAAGATTTATTTATTTGTGCATACAGAACTAGGGTACAGACCAGAGACTCAGGGGTGACAAAAGACCTCACCAGAGACAGAGTGGGGAGCAGAACAGGCAGATCGATGGAGTACACTGCTGAGGGGAGCAGCGGGCGGGTCAGGAGAGGTCTGCCACGCCATGTGGTCACCTCCGGGGGTGGGAATCGAACTCATGCGGAAGTGGTTTCAGCTTCTTAGTGCAGTGCTTTAACCCGCTGCGCCACCAGGGACGGCTACCGTATCATTCCCTTTTAACTGTCACTTAAAATTACAGCCATTTTGCCTGAACTACCAGTTTAAATTAGTAATTTTTACATAATAATGAAAAAATATAGGCAAAGGAATCATTTGTAATGACTTGGCAACCCAGAGGTTGGCAAAGGAAACCCTTTACCTTAGAGTTGTTAGATCAAGTTGGCAAGCCCACGCTTGATTCAGAGGAAGCCCAAGAGGGAGGGGACTTAAAAATTGTACTTTCTGAATTGGAAATATATAAAATGGAAAAAAGAAAGTCAAGAGTCTTCAGATATTGGGTGGACATATCATATAGAACAGTTAAAAATTTTGTATTTTTCTAAAACATAGAGCTGAAATCTATTGGTGGATATTTATCATAGGGGAAAATTTTGCTCTAACGTAAGTAAACTTTCTAACTAAAGGTATAAATAATGGTTTGACCTGTGAGGTAGAGGACCACTGATAAAACTGTCATTGCCCAACTAACTTACATGAGTGTTTTAGAGGGAATTGTTTAATAGAGAAAAGGGGTTGCTGTAGTCAACCTCTAGCTCCTTTGCGGCTATGTGGATAGATACAGTTATTAATGATTCTTAGTTTAGAATTAAGGATTAGAATCAAGAGAGAAAACTGACAGTTAAATCATGTGAGCTGTGAGAGAACAGGATACTATGGTTCTGGCAGATAGCACTGAGAAATAGGAAATGACTTTAGTTTTTAATGTCCTGAGAAGAGGAAACTGAGCAGATTGCAGGAAGGTTTTGACATAGGGTAGAGATTGCAAGATGAGTGATAGTTGGCAGCCCTTTTGGGCTTGCATCTTGGTAGAAAATGATCTGGAGGACGTTGAGGTCAAGTTTTCTTACCCAGCAAGCTCTGGTATCTATCATATCTTGGAGTAAGAGAATTTGAGCTTTTGTACTGATTAACAGATGTGTTTAAAGTAAGTGCAACATATATTTTAAAAACTAACAACAACAAATTCTGGTGAAAAAGGAACCCTCCTACATTGCTGGTGGGAATGCAAACTCCAACCTCTATGGAAAGCTGTGTAGAGGTTACAAATTGCTCAAAATGGACCTCCCATTTGATCTAGCAATTCCACTCCTGGGCATTTACCCAAAAGACAAAAAACATTAATTCAAAAGAGCACCTGTCCTATTTTTACTGCAGCACAATTAATAATACCCAGTTGCCCAAAAATAGATGACTGGATCAAGAAGGCATTGTATACATACATACATACATACATACATACATACACACACAGACACGTGTGTGTGTGTATGTGTGTGTATATACACATACTGGATCAAAAAGGCGTTTTACACACACACACAAACACACACACAATGGAATATTACTCAGCCATCAAAAGGATAAACTCATGCCATTTGCAGCAACATGGTTGGAATTGGAAAGGATCATGCTCAGTGATATAAGCCAGAAAGAAAAAGAAAAATACTGGATGGTCTCACTTATAGGAGGATTGTAGGGGCCCAAATACAGGGACTGGTGCCTGGTTGAGGGTACAGAAATTATAACAAAGTAAAAATCAAAATCAACAGGCAACTATTATCCAGGTCCTCGTGGACCAGATATGCGTGGATAAAGCATGCAATGTATGAAAATGAAGAATGATGTAAAACATATATAACATTTAAAAAATAGAATAACCATTATTCATTACAACATAATATAATTACACAAAATTCATTATAACATTACCATTATTATAGTATTTACACTAATGATAGAAATATTAAGGTTAATGATAAAGTTGGTAATGGCTACAGCTAAGTGCTTACTATCTACCACACTTTGCTAAGCACTAGATCTTATCTCTTGATCTTTACCATATTTCCCAAGAGAGGATACTATTCTCATTTCATAGACTAAGAAGTTGAAATGCCAAGAAGTAACTTATCAAAGGTTGTAAAAGTGACATAGAAGTTTATGCAAATTGAGGTTGACTCTATACTATTGCATATTACTTCCCTTGCACATTCAGTGTTTTATTCCTTTATGAAAGGGATGAGGACAAGCATGAAATAATATACTATCACAAAGAACAAATTGAATAATTCAAGAAATTTATCTTTTAGCATTGGGGTATATATATTTTATGTAATATGAGTTTGGGGAACTGCAGTTTCAGATATGGCAGTGGTTTTCTCACTGACAAACCTGAAAAGCCATCTTTTTAGATCATTCAAGATCAGTTCAAATCTTTCTTTCCTTGAGCATTGTAAGGAGTAGGGGAAAGAATAGAGAGCTTCCCTTTAGTTATAAGATAATAAGCTCCTTGATGTGCCAGAAGTTATTACTACAGGCAGTGTGCACTCTGCATGAAAGTGTAAAACAATACAAATGACTGCTTGTTCAAGCTAGCAAAATGACTTAATCAATGGAAATGATAAAATTTTTCTGTGACCTTTAAACATTTTGTCAAAAGTTATAAACCTCCTACAGTTAGTTATAAGTATAGAGAAATGAGAAATTAATAAAATTAATTTTTATTTAGTACTCTGTAATTTAAACATTGAGAACTAAAAGTCTTCTTTTGTAAAATATGTTTGACTGGTTTGTTCCAGTGGAAATTTAGTTTTCAACTTGCAATGTGGAATGTAAAACTCACATATCCATTGAACAATATCCATTGAAGGTTGTTTATAAAAAAAGGAACATAAAATATCCCAATTTTATATTAATTACATGTTTTATATTAATTGCATTATATTAATGAAATTATATTAGTCACAAGTGAAGAGTTTGTGTGTATTAGATTAACATTTTACTAGAAATAAGTAGTTTAGTTTTTTTATATTTAATTTCTTTATCTGTATATATTTTATATCGAGGGTAGTCCCCATAGAATCCCCACCACCAATTCAGCCATTCACCGTCTGATTTTTTGTTTAGTTTTGTTGTTTTTTTTTTAATTGTTACTATTTTTTCCCCTGATCCCTTATTTAGTTTTCCTAGATTCGTCCTATAAGTGAAACCATCTGATTCTTTTTTTTCTTTCTAACTTATAGAGATAAGTAGTTTGAACAGTGATTACCTTCTTGTCATATAACTTCTGATATGGAATGAATATTTTTTTTCTGTGCCTTGGTAAATTGTCATACTCCTAAGTTTGGGTCAGCTTTCAACATTTTATTCTTTGTCTGTGAAATATCAGGGATTTCTTTAATGTGAAATTTTTTGCTGACATCACTTCTGGTCCATCTTCATCCTCTTCTCACAGCCACTTTCTCCATTTATGTTGATAAGTTTGCCTTTGCCGAGTTCTTCTGCCCATGTAGCTAGAGCCTCTCCAAAGGTCACAGGATCAATATTCCCATGTCGATCTATTTCTTGTATACTCCATTTACATTTGAGTCAAATTTCACTGTCAATATTGTCACTTTCTGGTTTTGTTTTGGTACATTTTGTCACGGCTTGTCTGTTCCCACCTTAAGCTCA